ATATGTGGTTCTTATGTGTTTGTTTCCTTTATATATTTTATTTTAGCTGTACAGTTAGTACATTTTTCACATTTCACTGTTCACTCAACTCTGCGTCCAACTGTAATTCGATATGATACGGACCGAAGATAAAAAAATAATATAGAAGTTAAAACCTTAAATACATCTTATCTTTGTTCTAAATTACAATCAAGACGAGAGATTTTTCCCTTATTATTTAAACATTTTCCCTGATATGACTGTTTACTTATGTTTAACATATGTCTTTTACCAACCTTTAAATAGTGACATAATAAGTTATGTTTTATAATTAAACGTTACAATGTAAGTAAATCTCATTAGCGTACATAGATTTGTAGAACTATATAACGTTGTCTAACTTGAGTTAATAAAACTAAAGTTAAGAGTAAAATGCCTGTGCTTGACATTAATTACAACATTTATCCTTGACAAAATATGGACTTAATTTACAGTAACATAACTAATTATAACTTAGATATATTAATTTATACCTTTTCCATAATTCAATAGTACTGTTATCAATTTATTAAAAATAATAAAAATAGAGAAAACATGTTATTTTCGTTTAAATTATTAAAGAGAATTAATTTCTAAATTTGTCTAAAGTCTATAAGCGTGTTATAAATATGCAAAACATGGTTGTCACTCAGTGTATACCTTGATTAGTGTGTCGTGTAGTTAGTTCTATACTTTATTATTTATCTTTAACCCCACTGAGAACATGATTCAGTACCAGACTAAGTGCTATTTTCACACATATAGATAATAATACAATTTACTCCTAACGATTTTAAAGCACACTGAACTTAGTTGCTTCGATGCAGACTTAATAGATCTTTTGAAAGCTACATCATATGATTTGTTTGGGAAATTTTGTGGAATTCATTCATTCATTCACATAGAATTTTGTGCTTTATTGTTATATTAATTTAAAGATATTTTGAAGAGTTGTCGCAAGATAAAGCTTTAAGTGTTATGGTTTCAAAAAAAAACATTTCTACATTTTTTGTTTGATACTAAATAATAATATGACACGTTATAGTGTCTATAAAATTACATGTATTTTTAATATTTAAGTCATCTTAAACTGAATACTTCAATTCGAATAAAAAAAAATCTTAGCATCCCATGGATTCACCGTTATTAAACCTGAATATAAACATGAGAATTTAGCGGTACAAGTAGCTTGTAAAGAAAAAGTCTTTAATGATATGTAAGAAGCCCTTATTTGAATAGAATTTTGATTAGTATGGATGTATAGCAATATTATTGTAAAATAATATATATTTAGATAGTTTTATATGTCATGAAATTTAAAAGTCTAAACGTTTCTAAATTTGTCAAACCGACCGTTATGCATTGTGGAGTGTAACTGGCAGACATGTAAATTGGATCCATATTTAAAGCTTCGTTTTTACACAATATAATACTAACTAAATATTATTATAAATCAAAATATATTTTATCTTATTGTAAGTGTATTATAGGTTTTATCTGAAAATTAAAAGAAAGTCAAAATAATCTATAAAAACAAACGTTTTCATGTTTTTTCATTATACTTTTATACATTAATAGTTTTATACTACTAAGCTTCTATTATTTGTGTGTAATCTAAAATTTAATGATAAAATATTTTATTTTAAGCATTCATCGCAATTTTATATATTGCCTTGTCAAAGAAATGATATTTCAATATCTAGAACCGTTTCCATAGTAAAATTTTTATGACTTTCATACATAAATTTTATTATAGATTTCTTTTTCTTTTTATTTGTTAATAGTAATCTTCTAGTCTTCTCTTCTATCTTCTATATATATAAAAATGGATTGCTGTTTCTTAGTCTCGCTAAAAATCGAGAACAGCTGAACGGATTTATCTTATCTTAGTCTTGAAATGTTCGTGAAGGTTCAGGAAAGGTATAAAAGCTGAAAAAAATTGATTCATTACTGGGAAAACCATAAAAACAGCCCTTCTATATTTCCCATACAAACGTTTTTTTTTTGACATTAGATTTGACAACTAACTTATATGTCAATCATTCTGTCGCACTTCAAAACACGGAGATTTATGGCTTACAGGTAAACTCCAAAAATATAAATAAAAAAAACGTAATAGATATTTCTAGATTATAGGGCGATACGAAGTTCGCCAGGTCTTCTTATCTTAAATAAAATTTAATAATATTAAAAGTAGAGGAATTTCACAAAAAGATCCTGGTTATTAAATGGTTATTGCTTGCTATCTCAATAATTTGGACTAATCTTTCTACTTACGTTATAAACTATTTTGATTTATTATAATTATAGGATATTATAATGATTGTAGAATAGTAATTTATCTTGTTATTTCAGATATTTATCTATGAACTTAATGTGTCAAATATTATTTAAACTTATCAGAAGGTAATTGAAAAACAAATGCCATCTGATAATATAAGAATATTTACTACAACAGTCAGTAAATTTTCAAATCAATCTGTGAAGGCTCTATAAAAATAACCAAAAAATTAATAACATTATATACATATATTGTGTTTTGAAGAGAAGATAGTTTTTGTAAGTACTATTGAAGTCTCTTTGAATAAATGTTCTGAATATTAGAAATTCTAACTGGATAGGTCAATTAATATAATGTGATAAAGAAAAATGATCATACTATTTAATTAATACATATAAATCTGTATTATCAAAATGCCCGATAGCAATTGACATTAAAATTGGAGTTCTAAATCTATTTCAATATAACACCAGAAAGTCAACTAGATTAAAGGTCTAAATTCACTTTAATATTACATGTTTAAAGTTATAATTTTACTTATTACATATTAACATGGAGTTGAGCCTTATGAACTATCGCATAAAGTTAATACCAGTTACTTAATTCGGAGCTCAAGAGCTCGGGTTTGAATACAAATAAACACAACTGTTTCTAATTGATTATATTGAAATTCCAATCTTCTCATCATTAATACATACAACGACTCTAATGGCAATTAAAATCATATTAATTCTCAGCCAAACGAAAGGTTTTAATCTTCGATCTACAAAACTTTATCGGTAAAGTTTAAGTGTTAATTCTATAATGAGAACAATGTTTTGTATCTAACAATAGAAGCTCAGCAAGGTTCTTTTTTAAAAGTATATCCACTTTATACATATAACCCTTCCAAAACATTCAATACTTCTTTATAACGCATTATTTTTTGATACAGGATTGTTGGTAAAGGAGATCTTTTATTATATGTATATATTAGAAGAAAGGGTGTTTTAAATTTTGTATTTTTTTCTTAATTTTTCTCGTCTCTTAATTCGTTATAAGCACTATAAAAAAACAAATTTGTTTAAAAAAAATGTATTGCAAAAGTGTAAAAGTATAATAAATTGCAACGGAAAATTTATTATTTTTAAAATAAATGAACTTTGTATATTTATACATAAAGTCCATTAAAACAGCTGCTCATAGGATTGAACAAAGTTATGCGATATATTAATGTAACCCACTTTTATTTGTATAACCTCATGCGATAAATTTTCATATAATGGGCTGAACATTTTTCACTTCAACTTCTGATACTTTTGTATACAATATTTTTAGGGTGTTAACGTCATTAAAGCATGAAATAATGGTCTTTGAAACTTAAGTGTACAACCAAATTAAACACTTTTTAAGTCTACAAATTATTATTGCTTAAATTTATATAATTGCAGTGGCTTTAAAACTTCTTAGTAAAAATTACTGTTTGACTGCTTTCAAAATATTTGTGTTGTTTGTTCGTTACTGTAAAATTTAAATTTTAAGTATCAAAAACACTTTGTACGAATATATTAAAAGATTTATATGGATGCTAAAAGTTTAAACGAATTTGCAGGTCATCCATAGAATAAAATTAAATTAAAAAATTAATAAAAAAGTGAATTTCTAAATGGTTTAATATTTGCTATCTATTTTGATACTTACATATTAGATGTTAAAGTGAATATTGATTTTACTATTATCAATGGATTCTAAATACAAAAAATATAGTGTTAAAGATTTTGTCCTTATAATATTACTCTAATTTATTGAAATAACAACTCTTATTTGTTGCTATATTTGTTAATTGCAAGATATTACAGATTTAAAAGTTATATGTTGTTTAAAAGTTTGTCTGGCTAGTTGAGGGATATCACTATATATATATTTAGATTACAAAGTACACAAATATTTGACACTCGATACGCACGTTAACTTTAGTATAAAAAAAATCGTTAAACCTTTGTTCTATTAACTTTACTTCATTATAAAATTTATTTGCGTACATCAAGTATTATCCCTCATAATAAATAAATTAAATCGAATTTGTTCCATTTATTTTTTAATAGCACTTATCTTGCAAAATGAGTTTCAACGTTAAATCGTGATATAATCTCCGGCCGAAAAAAAACGTTATCCGGTTTCGCCTCGCTAGAATGGTATGACGATTAGTAGATATAGGTATAGATTACGATTAGGATTATTATTTCTCTTCAGAAACTTGATATATGGATTCGAGTAAGATTTATTTGTGGTGTGTGTGGCCAAAAAAGAAACAAATACTATTTAATACAGAAGGTCTACTCACATGAATTTGCTTTATTAAGTTAGATGAAAGTTTCATTTATTTAAACAACAGTTTAGGCTAGGATTTAAAAGATCATGGCGGTATTACACGATAGCAAAGGAATGTTTTCTCCAATTACAAAAATTTAAAAACTTACTTTATGCAAGTTATCTTCGTAATACCTAAGTAGTAGGTACTTGCGTTCATTAATAGCAAATTAAGCAATTTAATACTGCATTAACTTCTGTTTCCACAAATAGCTGCCCATAAAGTATCAAAGAAAATGTTGATTATTCTGTTCAATGAGTATGTTTTTGTTCTTCAATATGTAGTAAAATCTTTGTTTAGTTATTGCATATTGATCTATTAAACCAAACGTCTCAGATTTGTAACATCAAACTGTGGTCTCCTGGAGAAGAAGATACTGGCCAACCTCCACCGTCTGCAGGCCACCACCTGCACGTGACTGGTGCAGGTAGCGGCACGTGCTACCACCGTCGGTAATTACGAACCAAACACTATGATGCAAATAGACATGCCAATCACCACCCCACCGCCAGATACATTGAGGTATTTAAAGAAATCCGTTTATAATATAATTTTGGTTCAATCTACATTCGTTGTTTAATTGTAATAATAACAGGATATTAAAAGAAAATAAAATATATACAAACGATTTTTTTTATACACATAAATAAGTAAATATCATTTTCTTGTTTTGTATATAACAAACAATTTATTCTCATCTTTTTAATTTGTTACAATGTCAATTATTACTTGGTTTATAATCTGTTCAATTATAATATCAGATAGATTTCCAATAAAATTCCAGATGCATTCCAGAGTTTGTATTGGAGAATGTTGTTGTATTGATAACAATGTCCCGCCGTACTGTGGGCGCTATCACCGACGAGGTGGACATGGCCGGGTTATTACAACCCGCCCTCACGCTTGTATTGATATTCATGGATGATTCAACACGAACATACAACCCGCATTCTGAGGTTATTAATAGTTTTTTTTACTAAGTTACCAAAGCCTAAGCCTAAGCTCATGTATCTATACGCTAAAAAGAAAATTATTTTTCAGAAACTAATTTCATTTAATGCTCTCTGTGTCTCTTGTGTTTTTGTTTATAACATCGGTATAATATATACTTAGCATTTTTAAGATGTAAGGCAGAAATTAAAAATGTTATAAAATTTTTGTCCTAATGAATTATACTATACAAAAAAAATTGTTAACCAAATGTAATTAAATGTTAAGAAAATTATTGATCACAATAATGAGGGCTCCATTAAAGAAATGAAATCATCACCCTGTTTGATACTTTTAAGTAACAATTTATATTTATTATTTTACATATCTGTATTCAATATAATCTCTTTTCAGGGCACGTTTGGCTGAATGTCTGGAAGCAATGTTGCCGAACCATCCTGATGATCAACAGCCACTCAGTAACATCGCCTTCTTCTACACGGAACAGAACATGCATAATGTTCAAAGAACATCCACACAGACTTCAGGTAGATAATATTTTAACAATACCTAGATATTTCTTAACCATTATAAGTTTTAAAGATTAATACCGTCCTAATGTAACACGTTCGTTGAACGCGGTAGAAAGCAGTTTTAGGAAAGAGTGGGCCTTCTGAACTTATTAATTTTGTTCCACACACGTTAAGTAATTTTTTTTTATTTTAATATACATTTAAATGATGTTAAAACTTACCTAGATTTTGAATTGCCCAATACGCTAATCTCCCCTGTGTACACATTGTTGCAATCGCCGACAGTTATTTTGGTGCACTCGTCGCATTAAAAGCGGGTCCTCGCGTATTCGGTTCCTGATAACTGCTGTGCGGATTCACATTACCATCTCCTCCCGCGAGTGACTTTCTTTTTTATAAACGCAAGTGAAACGTCCTATGTAGTTTTAAAATTATAAAAAAGCGTAGTCTATCTGAAAATTTTAGTTTCATATACAAGTATGTAAATGTATACTCGCAAAAGTCATAGATATCATTATTTTTAGTATCTACCAATAATGTTAGTAATATAAAAATGCATGTCGCAAATATGATTTATATAGAAATAGACAGATAGCTAAGCAATACGAGAAATAAAATTTCATAAATTTTATTAAAATAATATGAATTATGTAAAAAAAGTGTAAATATTTATTCTTTATTATTAAAACTGCTATAAATATCACCTGGCATTCTGGAATGCTATATTACTGTCGTATTTTAATTTATGAATAAAGGCATATTATTAAATTGATAATTAATCTAACATTTGAAAACTCGTAACTCAGTAAGTCCACTGTAAACAAAATATCAGAAGAGGGTGTCAATTACATTTAAAAAACTTACTTGATGTTTGATTGGTTTGGGATTCAATGTTATATTTAAAAGCTTTTACCGACCTTCCCAGCTTTTCTGCCTGAATTGTTTACAAATACGAAAACTAACCAATCGATACCAATAAATCATGTATGTCACGAACTGCCGATACAGAGCACGTCACTAAAGGAAAAGAAATAAGAAAGAAAAAAAAAGAAAAAAGAAAAAAGAAAAAAAAAAGAAAAAAGAAAAAAAAAAAAAAAGAAAAAAAGAAAAAAGAAAAAAAAAAAAAAAAAAGAAAATATTGAAGAATAATTATTTCTTGTTATACAGCCTATAGGTGAAATAGAAATATATACATATGTACATTTATAAAAAGTGTCAAGTGATACAGAAAGGGTTGTAGTAGGTATAAAAGGAACCTCAGTAATTTAATTATTTAGTAGTGGGGCGGTAATTTAAGCTTTACACAATAATGGAGTGTTATAGTAAGGCGTAAGGTAGAAAGTATTTGGTATCATAATATAATGAAATTTATATTTAATAGAACTCATATTTTTAATTTTAATTGGATGGTAATTTGTTGGAAATACTTGTTTTTTATAAAGTATGCATGAGCCATCAGTTGTACATGTGTGTCTGGTTATAATGCTATAGAAAGTTAGTTAGATCGGAAGGAAAATAATATTTTTTTACAATTCTGATCCTATTTTTATGAGTTACATTCCAAACTACTTTCATGTCATTTGATAAGTTGATAATATTCGAAGTTTTAATAAAATTTTCGTGTTGGTTTTTCACTGTATTTTAACTACCAATAAGCATGCACAGAAGTATTTTATGTAATACATATTTTTTCTGATAAACTGTTACAAACATTAATCATTTCATAAATTGATAAGATACGATGTTTTAATGAATGTTGTTCATAATTTGAAAGGATTACTTTTGATCTTCTTCTTCTATCTGGCAAAAAAAATCATAATGTTTGAATAAACAGCTTTTAGAAATAATTTAGATAAATAATTTAGAAATATGTTGTGATTGTTTTTAATTTTTATATTTTAATTATTTTTTTTTGAAAATTTATTCTTATACCGCCTTTCATTTAATTTTTACATAATATATAAATTGGATCTTACCTAATATTATAATCCATTAATTGTATAATATGTCAAGACATAAAATATTACATACTTAATCAAGGATTAAGTATGTAATATTTACATTATTTTAAGTGTTAAAAGTGAAAATGAACATACTCGTATACAGTACTTAATATTTGCATGAGAATGATTAGCGATAAAAAATCGTAGAAAAGCAGAAATAATTAACCTATAGAAAGTTACTCAAAGTAATAGGTAAAATGCACTTAAATTTCAGAAAAACTTGGTTTGGTTAGAAAAACAAAAGGTCAGCAGTTCAAATAAGAGCTATAAAAGTACATAGATTCCCTGCACCTGAGTTTTATGGATATTGGATACAATCCAATACCTACAAAATGTATAATTTGTTAAGTGATTAAGTATTGTTTATCTTCTTCCTGACAATTATCCCAGCTTTAGCCAGGGTCTGCCTTTCTACTCAAATTTCTCTACTTTGCACGGTCTTTGGCACTTGTAATGTTTGGCAGTAATGTTCATATTGTTACAAAATCGTAATGTGTATAATGTATATATTTATCTTTATAATATATTTATCTGTATAATGTTGAAATGTATTATTCAATACATTCAACCACTAAAGAAAAAATATATAAAGGTTGCTTAATGTCATGGCACCAATCATTTAATGGATCCATGCGCATACAACATCTATTTCAATTACTCGATGTATTTTATTAATACACATAATACATATATTCTATATATTGGATTGATTACACATTCATTGTTTTAATAGAGAGAGACGCCAGCCTCGCTGACGTAACAAATGTCACTTCTTCTAGAGCGTTCCATGATATTTTAAAATGAAACTTCAATTGTTCTTAATGCTCCTGTATTTCTCGAAGGTTCTACATAATCACATACTTCAATGATACGCACTCACTGAACTCTGAATTTTGCCGTCGTGCGTCCAGACGTCATATTTATACCAAGATTTAAACATAGTTCTATTCTCCTTTTAAACAATCTTTGATTTCGTTTTACTTTTAACAATAATCATGTTTTTGAGTTTTAATAAGAATTGATGACATGAAAGCTGATAGCGCCGATATATACAAGTCATATGATATTCATTTCAAAAAATAAATAAAAATAACATGCACCTAATTAAACCAGGTTTGATTTAAATCAAACCTGGTTTAATTTAAAAAAATAGAATAAAATAAATTTAAGAATTAAATGTGTTTAATTACGATTTTTGTATAGATAACTATTTTTAAATAAAATGTTGTTAAAATATAGTTATATTATTATCAAATCATCATCGTATACCGCTGGCTCGACACCTAAACTTCTTCCCAGCCCAATATTCCAAAGAATCAAAAAATACTGTTTTCTGTGGCGTTTTTCCGATAATTGGAACAATTAAGCGTTGTTGCAATAAGAAGAAGACCGTGGCATTAATATAAAGACATTTATATTAAGATTTGTACAATTTTAATTCTCAAAAAATATAATACCTGAGTGGACGCAAAGTTTATATTACGCTTTTAGAATACCCAGGGATTTGAAGCTCCAGTATTCAGAAATTTGAACTGAAACAATAAAGAATTGTGGAAAAAAGAATAATATACGATTTCTTTTACGTAATGAATAAGAATTTATGTGGACCTAAATACAGGAAAACATTGTAAATACAACTTAATAAATACAACTTCAAATTAAATTTAAAATAATTTAAAGACAGAGAATTAACGGTTCTTCAATTGGTTACTTAAAGATTTTTAAAGATAGGCCTCCGTTTTTATATTATAAAATTAGGTATACTTCAAACATAATTTTGTGATATCAATAAAATTTTGTGGCAATAAAAGGGTTATATGTAAGAGAAAATATTTCATGTAGTTGATTTGTTTCTAATTGAAATAACATCATGATATAATGTTGTAGAAATCATTGGGACGCACAGTAAAGAAATATTTCACACTGCCCATAACAATATCATATGCTGAAACTGGTCTTATATTTTATTTTTTCACTAAAAGCATTACAATGCTTTTACGGAAGGCCAATAACGTGATGACATTTTTGAAATATTTCTTTTTGCCTCCTTGAAATATTGTAACATCAAATTGTTTTTTTTATTCATTATTTACATTATCTTCATACAACAATCATAATTCATAAAGAAATAAAATATTGAATTATGATTATAAGTAGTTATGAGATTTAATTATGGATAAGTCAATTGTTAGGTTATTATGCTGAGCGTGTTGAGTTGAAATTGTATAATATTTTAAATCACATTGTTACTGACGACTATACAACGCAAATTATCATAATAACTAGGAAACTCGTTATTATTATTATTCTCCGTAATAAAATATTAATAACTAATTCTAGATGCTTTTATTAGTCAATGTGTGAGAAAATCTTTAAAAACCTTTCTCTTGCATAACATTTCAACTTCAACGATAACAATATACTTATCTGTATTAAAAGTATTTTTCAAAAAAAGTTTGCCGTAACAATTAATGGTAAATTCCCAACGAGACCTTCATTAGCAACAAGCTTCATATGTAACTGACCAGAAAGTCAAATAAAATTGTCTCGTTTTCATACTAACATGCAAATTTTGGTCGTTTCATACTTTTCTTTCCAAAAAGAAAAGGAGTACGATAGTTGATTGATCACTCTTCATCTTGTATCATTCTTCATTGCTCTTTTACGTTTTAACTACAAAATTCGAAGGTATTATATAAAAACAGTTTATTATTTTAAAATTTTTACAATTGCGTTTGATTATATCCTCAGTCAAGAGATTCATGTGTCCTTAAATCTATTATCATACGGGTGCAACATATAACTAAGCGAATCGAACGATTGCAATTAAATCTTTGAACTTTTCTTTATTCCGTCATATTAAGGGATGGCAAATCAAAAAATGGAAGGGCTATACTGAACTCTCTTAAAAATGGAAATTTTAATTATATGAAATTAATTCAATAGTTGTTATTTTATTTTGGAAGGTAAATAACAAACCATTGATTGATAATAATAATTAAACAGATACCGGCAGGTTG